CATCACAATTAAAATACATATTTAGACATATTATGAATTTAAAATGGTCTACTTTGATCATGAGTAATCTAAAGTTAGAAGTTAGTAGTTGAACAATAAATATCTGATTAACTTATTTTCATTTTATTTCACCCTACCAACCTTCGAAAAATTTCAGATTGGATATTCTTGTGCTTTACTAAGTGATAGATTATAATCATCTTATATAAGTCCAAAAATATGTTATACCGTTTAATAGAATTTTTTGAGTTGAAATAGATAACTTGTTGAGACAGTATGATAGTGGAGAGAACTGATGGGCTAGATGAATTTCAATTACTTGAGTCAAATATTTCATTAACATATTTTCTTTTACAGTAAATGTTTGGTAGATTATCTATTTGAATTACATAAAATCGAATTAATTTTAATGTATGACTATTTAACCATATACGGTATGTCAATTAGAATAATGGTCCTATCGAACAAATTATATTGATCATTTAATTAAGTCACTCAATAGAATCATTGTGAAAAAATTGTTTTTATTAATAAAGAACAGTTCTGAACATTGAAGATGAAGCAAATTTGCATCTAGTCAGTTGTGTAAATTCCCAAGTTGTGTACGTTTTATTAAAGTAACCGATATAAGTGAACAATTGTTAATATTAATAGTTGAGTTTATTATCCTTCTTGATATATATACTACCAACTAGGAATCACTGAACTACTTGAATCTGAGGTACCTTTTCCAATTATTCCAAAGTGCTATTCATTCTTTTGACCCCTACTTCCAATCTTATTATGGTTTATTTTTATATATACTAGTAATATTAATATTCATGTATGAAAAAAAACCTGAACAAGGTGATTCATGTCAACTTACGACCAATTTGTACGTTCTGCTTATTGTGATTCATTATGTAATCCTTTTAACTATGATGATTGACTCATACACTACCTTGATTGTTTTAACACTTTTGTTTATTAGTATTTTTTCATCTTTAATATTTCTTTTTCGCTATCTATATAATTACACTGATTAGGTACACACTTCTCATTACGTAGTTTTATTAGATTCTAATGTCTTTTATTACATTGTTTATTTTCAGAAATTTTCAACCAATCCCTATATTGAAACATACATTACCCCTAGTACACCTGTCACCCAACTATCAATTCGTGATTACTTAATGTCATCTATTATTTAATTCACTTCATTGTTACCACTGACTCACAGATTTCTTTGACTGGTTTAAGTTTTTTAATGTACAGAAAACCACTTCAGGTAATGAGAATTTCATAGTAACTTATATTTCGGAGGATGTTTATGATTTCTTTCAGCCATTTAGTGTACTTTAAATTATTGCCTACCCGACAGTTTCACACTGAATAATAATTATTATCTGATTTAATAAAACACTTTAACTAGGAAATTAGCCAAAGACATTTACATAAAATTCATCCTAACCTATCAAATAAATGATGACCGAATAGAGGGAGTTGACGAGGATTTTTAAATTCAGAGTTAGTTTTCATCCCAAGGTAAACATCTATTAGTAACCAGATTGAATCGAGATGGCATTTCGTTCTTTCATAGGATTCTTCAGCAAAGCATACTCACAACATCGTATGAAGTTCAAAACAACACACCCATAAGTTGTTGCAAGCACGTTAATTATGGACACTTCACACACTTTAATGATCCCATAAATGCATTCAGTTTATTTAGTGTATGATAATAGTCTCATACAGTCGATAATATTTCCTTCGGTTCCGATATTTCTGAGAAATTTGTTGTAGCAGTATGGTCTAAAAACATAGTAGGTATCGTCAGACGTAGTTCCCCATTGGTTAGTCCTCAACATGGGAACCAATGTGTACTACTTACGAGTTCCAAACTAATGAGAAGATATTCATCAACTAATCCTTGATTTGCGAAAGTAATTTAGTTGTTTATCATGAAAATTCACTTCAACAAACATCTGCTTCATTTGAGAAGAAACATGAATAATATCTTCCAATCTATTCAAAGTTTAATTTTGATTAAATCATACGAATCACAAATTATTCAAGATAACCTCAATTTGGGCCCGAATTCTGCGTGTAAAAATGATACGTCCACTCTCTCATCCTCCCCTGACCCTAATTCTCTTCTGTAGTATATTTTGGTCTTATTTTGTTTTTATTACTGTTTTGTAATTTTAAACTGCAATCAGTTACTATTATGAACTTTATGTTTTTCGCTCCTTTTCATATCTGTCAAGCGGACAGTCAACTTTCATAATTCTGACCAGTAAATTATTCTCATCTTCCTATTGTTCTCTAATCTTTTAATTATTACACAACTTCATTGGAATCCCTTTATGATGTAATCTTTAGCAAATAGTTATAAATACAAATGAACAGCTTAAGTAAATGATTTTCTTTGCTAAGTTCTCTTCATTTTTTTTACTCAATGACAAAATGAGTTATTTTAATTAACTGGAATTCAATTTGTAATGGTTCGGATGATCATGTTATTGATTCCATTGTTAATCATAATCTGTCTATTCTAGTTCACAAACTAGAATGAATATCAATGAGTCTCAGAGATTAACTCTAATATAATAAGACTTTGATTTATTCGAGAGACTAAAGATGATTATAAGTATGTTAAATAGATAATTATCGTTTAGAAATGAAATTTTATATTAAATAAATTAATTGAATTGTAGGAGTAGTTAGTAAAATGCCATAACATTTAATTGATTGACATTCAATAATTGATAACGTGAGTAAATATGATTCTATCATTTTATTCGCTACACGGAAGTATTGTTAATAACAATTATAAACACAAGGAATTTATCATCGATCTAAAGTGTTTGTTGTATGTTTCAATGTTTTTATCCTGATTTATATATTTAAACTAATCCAATATATCGGGAGGGGGTTTTGTGGATATGATAGTAATTTCAATAGTTGAAATCATGAATCAATTGAAACTAGATCACCATGGAAAACCTGGAAGCACTGGACAAACGTTTCATCCCATTGTGGGACTCAGCAGTGCGAAACATATACGCACTTTTACCAATTGTTCTCTACTTGTATATTTACGATTGCAGCGTTTAACTTTGTACAAAACTATTTCATAAACGCTTTTGTTCAAACTATTTTCTAGCTTGCTGGAAAAAGATGAGATTAATATCTTCCGATACCTTTCAGAAGTGACTAATATCACTCAAGTTGCTTTTAAAGGTATCGAAAAATCCAATACCGTAATGAGCAACAAAATATTCGTATTTATACACCATTCGATATGAATACGCACTGATATCAGATCTATTATCTAACTTATTCATTTCAACAAACCAAATACATCATGTATCCCTTATATCGCACATTTATATAAACTAAGTATGCGTATGACAAAATCTTGGTATGAATTCAGGATACTCATCTGACTTTTCCGAAGTTCCTTTACTTGTAGCGTACGTGAGATATCTGTCTGAGAACTAACGGCCTAGTATACTGCACAATGGTTCACTCGGTTCTACCTTACGGCTGTTAAACCTGTTCTTTTAAAGTAAAAGATTTTCGTAGATTACTAGTCTCCTATCACAACTGCTTTTGAAACACTGCTTGTATATGTTAGGACTATCAAATCTACGATTCGGTGGTTAGATGCAGGGTATGGTTGAAGATTGGGAAATAGATTAATGAGGTGGTGAATTTCTATTGATTGGAATGGTTAGGCCATGCTTTGCGTATACATAACCACATCTATCTTGATGGGCTATATTTTCTCACGTGAGAGTAGGTAGAACGAAAGCTGAAGGTGATCAAAGTAAGACATGTCATTAGCCTGTGAAGACACTGACAATGGAACTGAGCTATGAAGGTAGGTGCAGACTATCTGGTTAGCGTCCATAAGGTAACCACGATTACTGATTGAAAATTTTGTATAACACAGCATAACACAGTAGAGCGAGCGCATTCAACATTATCTTACTTAAATCTTGAATTTACAAATGATCTAATAAGACTTTTTTTCATTCCACTAACCCATATTTCTTTGAGGGGGGGGGAGGATCATCTGGCCGATGACTACTACCATTATTACTATTATTGCTTGCAGTATTTTGCAATCTTATTGACAAAGTCATCTCATTTTGCTAAATACGTCTGTCCAGCTTAAATCATGACATATACCAAAATAGTTGCAGAAACAAATACAACCAAGTGACCTAATAAAAGCAGAGGATAAACATCCACCATCCTCTACTGCTAAACATAAAATCGAAACAAGCCATAAGACTGATCTAATCTCGGCTTTTGTGGTGTTGTACAAATGTGTAAAAGGGTGTATATTAAAGTCTATTGAAGCCTTAGCCGTACGAAAACTCAAACCTCCTTTGAAAACAGTTTGTTCTCACCTTAAACCTACCCTGGTAATATTGACTTATTATCCAGAGTGATTAGGTTTCGAATTGTATTCACATTATTATTATCACTTTTATTATTATCATCATTGTCTCCACTTATCCTCCATTTCTAGTCTAGTTCACCTTTTATTTTTATATATAAATGTTTTTAACAAGTAGGTAATTTGTGATGAGATTGTTCGAAATGTATTGCGCTAATATATCATCACGTAGTTCTGATAATCTTCGTCTTCTTATCACACTATTGAAATTTATCAAAGAGACTAATTGCTTTAAATATATGTGTTAGGTTTTAATATTAAACTAATTTGAACGGATTGAAAATAACATCTATAATAATAATAATAAAAATTTCACTCATTGAAATCATGGGTTAATTGAAGCTAGACCACCATGGAAAACCTGGAAGCACTGGATGCGCACTGACGAGGAGTCCCATACAAAGACGAAACAGCCGTCCAGTGCTTCTAGGTTTTCCATGTTGGTCTAGCTTCAATTAACTCATGATTTCAATGAGTGAAATTTCTAAAAATCTCCACAAAACCCATTCTGATAATAATAATTACATAAAAACAAATCATATCATATAAAGATTTATTGAAAATAGTACTGATTTTCATGATACATCTTATGAATGAAGATAAGTCATGTTTGTTATTGTTTTAATGTACAATATCATTCATTCAAATACACAAATATATATACATAATAACAGAAATATAAGATTCATTCTTATAGTATCTATACCATATTAAGTTGTTTTAATGTAATACTTTAATAAATTTAATTAATTAATTTTAATTACATTTAATTAAATTATAAAATGTTTTACGAAAACGTCTACTAAGCCATGAATAAAAAAAGAAATTCAATGTTGAATTAATAGCTAAACTTAAATTCACAAAATTACCTGCTATCATTAAATATAAACGCATTGATGATTGATTTATATTTGGATTAGATACTTTAATTAAATGTAATATTGCACTTGGCATTGTAAATACACAAAATGCTACAACAATTAATATTAACATTAATGTAATTCTATCTTTTTCATTTAAATAATTATGTTTTGATTGATGTATAGTAAATAATTTTTGTGCTGAATTATATGAACGATATATAGTAGTTGGTATAGTATCTTGTTCATCAGTTCTCATTATATTCTTTCCACTATTATTATTATTATCATTATTATTACTATTATCATTATTATTACCATTATTATTATTATCATTATTGATTATTTCGTGCATTTCCATGCCAGTGATCATATTTTGTTTAGATAATTTTTGTTGTTTTAATTGTAATGGTTTATATTTACAAATGAATTGATAATTTTTTAATGAATTTTTTAATGAATAACAATCTTGACTATCATTATTGTTTATTATTGGTTCTGAATTATTTCTTGTATAATTTGTTAAACTTTCAGTAACACATATAATACCATAACGAATTTTTGGTAAAACTACATCATTTGTTTTTTTAGTCATTTTTAATCGAATTTTTGATGCATTTATAATGGATTTAATTAATAGACCATTAAATACTGAAAGAATAATTAATGGTCCTATAACAACTAATATAATAATAATTATAGGCCATCCATTTTTATTTAGAATTTTACCTAATCTTGTTTCTGTTAATATATAATGTGATCCACGAATAGATAGTTGTTGATTAGGTGTTTCATTATTACTAATATTATTATTATTATTATTAATACCAAGAGTTTGATTTTCATTCAATGTTAAATCTTCAATATTATTGAAATCATCATTTATTGTTTGAATCTCTTTTGTTGTTTTATATTCTTCATTCCATTTTACAGTATATGATAAAAAATCTGGTAATGTTACACTGAATGTAAATAAACATATAATAAGTATTATCCATTTACAATTTTCTTTGGTACATATTTTACGAGCTAAAATTGGTGATGAAACAGCTATATAACGTTCAGCAGTAAATGCACATGTTAACCAACATGCTGTATTACTACATAAATTACCAAATGCCATTATATATGGTAATAAATTCATATAATATTTATATGTTTCAAATTTACCAAATGTTCTTAATGTAAGTAATAATAATGTTATTCCATAAAATAAATCACAAACAGCTACAGCAAGTAAATAATTATTAGTTAATGAACGCATTCTTAATCTTGTTAATATAAGTATATTTAAACTATTTGTTGATATACCAATAATACAAATAACTGGAATTAATCCTTGCATACATATAGTTCGTACTAAATGAAATAATTGTAATAATTCAATAGATTCATTAGTTATATTAGTTTGTGTAATATTGAAATTAGTCATGTTCATTTAAAATGATAATAATAATAATTTTCAGTAGTATATATTATTTAAAAAATTTCATGAATATCTATATATCTATATATATTCTATAATGAATTCAATTCAATTATTTATAATTGTATTTTATTAATTTTATGTAATTCTAAGTATGCTATAATGATTTATTACATGTCTTATATATATATATTCCACCAATCATATTTCAGTATTTAATAAATTAAAACAAACAATTACTCTCAAACTATTCGTTTAAACTTTAATAAATATTCATTCAGATAAGATAATTGGTTTATCCGGAATTTTGTATTATTTTTAAATATATGTATATGAAACAAAATGTCTTGTTTGTTTTGTTTTTGTTTAGTTGATTTTGATAATATATAATTTTATGAGAAAATAGGTTTTGTGGGGATTTTTAGAAATTTCACTAGTTGAAATCATGAGTCAATTGAAGTTAGACCACTATGGAAAACTTGAAATCCCTGGAAGGTCATTTCTTCCTAGTATAGGACTCCTCCAGTGGAGTTCAACCAGGTCGGTTGTGAAATATCAGCTCATTGAAAACAATGATGTACGGTGGTGCACTTTCGTTGATTGGTTGAAGATAGACATTAACACCGTTGGATGCCGGCTCAGTGGTCTAATGGTAAAGTGCTCGCGAGCAAGACCGGTAGGTCCTGGGCTCAAACCCGTGGGGGATGGGATCGTGGATGTTCAGTGCTGAGAGGTTCCACAATAGGATGAAACGGTCGTCCAGAGCTTCCAGGTTTTCCATGATGGTCTGGCTTCAACTGACCCATGGTTACAACTAGTGAAATGTGTAATTCATTCAAACTAGTAAACAATCAAAATGCAATAAATTTGAAATATTAGAAGATAGAATCAGGATAGAGTTCGATAGGGAATGTTTATGAGCGAATTATGCTCCTTTATGAGGGGTAACAGATGTAAGTAAAGCAGTATTGATGAAGAAATGAAGAATTTATTGTGTTTTTTTTCTAATCGTATAATAATAAGCACTACATGCATTAGCCTAAACTCTTTGATTGACTGATTAATTCATCTATTATCTTTTAGGTGTTATTGCTTATAAAACTTGTGACTTAAGGCAATATCGAGGCAGTCCGCTCAGAATGCACATATGCCAATGAGAGACTGATCGATTGCAGTGCTAAACAACAATCGGAAGATTTAAGTTGATAATATCAAGTGAATTTAAACTTCACCCCATTTCATAAGCCGGTGGCTATGAGGAATCGGTGGCTGAGTATATAGCGCGATGACGTTTAAAGGGAACGTTATTGGGTTCGACTCCCAGGGTGAACATCAACTCTGAGATGCAAGTACATCTAGATGACGTGTCCCGAATAGGACGAAACGCGTGTCCTGTATTTTACTACCAGCCACTATCCATCTCTGCTTATAAAATAAAATCTAATTTGTAATTTTATTTTATTCATCATCTCTTTGGAGATATAGTTTGTTTTCAATTTCAGTGTAAAAAAACAAGTTAGGAGACAATGGTAACTCGCACATTTCAAATGAATAGCGACATGTGTGTTAACACAAATCTCTACGGTGAAATGAAGTTTATGTAAGATCACTAAAATGATCTTATACTATGTTCCATTAATCGATTTTATGTATTCTCTGATTTCTCAGTGATTAGATTATTCAGAACTACTATTCAATGTCATCAATGGGTTCTTAATTCAATTACCCGGAGAATGTACCTCCCCTAAATTCATCATACTAAGCAACCATCTTGACAGGTGAATGAACTTCATTGGTCATTGGCTTCCCACTAGAACATCGGGAATTATCTCTCAAAATGTTCTGATTATGTACGTATTAAGATGTTTTATTTGTGCTGTCATTGAATCTTATATTATTCAACTGATCAATCGTATCAAGTACACATACTGATTAGTCAATGAAGAATAATCGATTTCCGTACTGTTTGTTATTCAACAGATAGACATAATTTATCATAAGATTTGATGTGAACAACTTAGTCAACAAAAGTTTTTGGTAAAAAATTGAATTGGTGTATTGTTTCTTTTGTCTATTTAATTTATTCAAACTAGTAGTAAATAACTAAAATGAAATAAAATTGAATTATTAGAAGATAGAATCAACTTGTAATATTTGGTATTGTTACATATTCGTGTAGTGATAAAGATTGAAACACCCATTACTTACTAAGTAAATTATTTCAATCACCGTAGTTCATATATAGTTCATTTCATTATTTATCGTTTAGTTGTATTACCAGATGTCTATAATATACGTTCTTCAAATACTTTTTATATTCAACGTTTCATCTCGTTATGAACCGGATTTCTCAACGATTATGTACAAAGCAGATAAGATTTTTATGTCATTAAAGTCAATATCATTCATTTATTAAAAAGTCAACGACGAGATGTAAACGAATGACCTGGAACATTTCATTATGATGATCAAATTGATTTTGATATTATGTTTATGAACATAAACAGGAGAGACTATAATTTATGGACGAACTAATCAGGTATAAGATAACAGACCTCGAATTTTGGCGCGAAATTCACTCATCCATCCGGATAAATAGTGTTTCAGCAGTATAGCCGATGCCAGTTCGTGATGAAAACCCTAAATATTATTCATAGCCTTAAACGTCAACTGTAAATCACAATTCAAAGTCCCCACATAGGTTTCTAAGCCTCATTTGGTCCTAGTTATTAAGTGGATACTCTCAAGGTCACTTTAGCGTCGCTCAAAGTTAGAGTAATTTTAAAAATTTGCATCACATTATATACTGTTAAAATTTTAAGCTTCTTACTATGCTCGGGTTTGAAAGTAATCTATTAAAACCAGTTTCTAGGAATTGCTAAATTTTAACAAATTACAGATTTATATGATAACTGAAGGCCACCTTTGTAAAGTCTTTTAATATTTGTATTTAAAAGCAATTAAAGATTGTTTAGTGGAGAAAATCCTATTTTCAACGATTTCTCTTATTTAAGATTTACAATTTTATTTATGATTAACTTTATAGAAACAGTATTTGATAATAGAAATTGTTTATTAAAGTTACTACAAATAATCAAAAGTCATGAAAATCTAACCTAATATACAAACCTAAATATATCTAGCTCAAAGGTCAAGCGTTCGCTGGGCTCGAGCCCCGCGTGCGGGATCATGAGTGCTTACTGATAAGGAGCCCCATATCGAAATGCGACGGCCGTCCAGTACTTCTGGGTTTTCAATGGTGGTCTAACATTGATTGATACATAATATCAATCAATAAGTAATTTGATCATTAGATTATAAGTTACTTAAACTGATTTACATGTTAATTTCAAATGAAACTGTACAATTATGATATGAAATGTTAATTGAAAACATTATGAAATGTATACATGAATATAGGTCAGTGAAAAAAATAGTGATAACCACAATAACAATAATGGTAAAATTAACCAAATCTTTTTTTGATTAAAATCATGAGCCGACCTGGAAGCACTGGAAGGCCGTTTCGTTTTATTGTGGGACTCCTCAGCAGTGCGCATCCACGATCCCGCCCGCGGGATTCGAACCTACGGCCTCCAGTCTCACAGACAAACGCTTGACCTCTAAACCATTGAGCCGGCCAGCATCCACCAGTGTTAATGTCTAAGCTTAACCATTCCAAAACCATTCTAGTATATCAGCATTTGTGTTTATTCATACGAAATGAAAAAAGATTTTAGTCTTATAACTAAATAATTAATTAATCATATATTAACTAAATATTTTGGAAAACATGTTCGATTAAAATTGAAACTATTAATAAGGGAAACACTTATGAAAAAATAATATACAATAAAATATAAGTTTCTGAATGTTGAAATGATGGAGAAGATTTGTAGCTCAGGTGGATGATTATGATGGAGTTTTCTCCTATGAGCTAAATGGTTTGGTCGTGGGGCTTTTATCGTTCTTCTGAACGTCATCATCAGCACAAAATTCAACCTGAAGCTCCACGACCAAACCATCCAGCTCAGAGAATAAAACTTTATCAAAAAATGATTCTAAATCAACAGAAAGAATTCATTGATTCGAAAAGAAGCATTCAGGTGTTTTGTGCTCATAGAACTCGATGATTTAATTTTATAATTACCGAGATCAGAGAACATTATACGGTCAATCCATGTGAACAGTATAAAGATTAACATTGTGACCCATGTGCAGATGAACTCAGTTGAAAAAAAAAGTTAACTTTCAAGTTCACATGTTCCTTTGGAAATAGTTCGTCGTCATTACCTCTACTGTGCTTTTTCAACGATATATGGTAGATACTTTTATTTGAGTCTCGACTCATCTATTGATATCATTTAGGAAATCCATAAGAAAACCCTAAAACGTTCACAAGTAAACCTGTTTTATATTTCTGAAGCTTTATTCATTTATAAATGAGAAATTAAGCCGCGTCTGTCTTTTCTGTTATTCATAGATTTCATTCCTGAGTTTATAAAAATTGTTCTATCTTATTATTATCTTAACGAAAGCCGTTTCTTTTCGGATTACTTGATTATCATCCACACGTCTCCTTCATTTTAACTTAATAATACTTGGTGTTAATCTGTTTGCTTTTATGATTAGATTTTTATTTTATTTAATGAGTTCCCTCTTTCAATAGCCATTTGTTTAATTGGATAATTATGTAGTCAGATTTCGTAAGTGGTTAACCATCCTTCTTAATGTTCAATATATAATAGTATCAAGAATTTTTTTTCTCAAATTTCATACAACGACTAATCAAGTTCGTACAGCATACATTTTTCTCAGACCATTAATTTATCACGCATATAATAATTGTCCAGTATTAAAAGTAGACTCGTTTAAAAGGATTGCGTTTCTGAATAAGTTCTTTTATGACGAAATGAAGAAATTAAAATTAACATTAGATTATCATCGAGTTCATGAATCAAAGTTCAAAAACTATTGTAGATCGGGAAAACATGAATAGCTGTGTGGTGCGTGCTACTTATATTGGCATA